CCAAACTAGGTCTCTTAGGAAAGTTTTTTTTTTTTTCCATAGAGTGAATGAGGAGGAAGGATTTCAACCTAGGGCTGCTGAGGATCATCTTTGTAAACACAAAACAGAAGCCTGTTGAAGATGAAGCTCACTTAGTGGAGAAATGAGAACACTGAACAAATTACTTAAACTCCTGAATGTAACTAAGTCTAAATCACTCTAACTCTGGACTTTTCAATAAAATCAATTAATAACCTCCCATAGTGTTGGAAATCAAAATCCCCTTTTTAAGCCACTATGAGCTAAAGTTCTGCCACTTATGCGTTAAGAATCTTAGCTGATAGCTTTTTTTTTTTGGTACTGGGGACTGAACTAGAGTCCTTGCACTTGCGAGGCAGGCAGCAGAACCACTGAGCTAAATCCCTGGCCCAAGGAACTACTTTTTGCTAATACATAGCACTTCATTTCAAGGCTTTAAGTACTGTACTTTATATGTATTATTTAGTCCTCATAACACTTCTTTAAAATAGGATGCCATTATTACCATTTTTTGGATGTGTGTGTGTGTATGTGGTTGACCCCAGTGTCTTTGCACTGAGCTACATCCTGATCCCCTTTATATTTTTAGATAAGGGCTAAGTTGTCCAGGTTGGGTTCACACTCATGACCCTCCTGCCCCAGCATCCCGAGTCCTTGAAATTACAGATTTGCACTACTGTGTCCAGTTTTAGGCTCATTATTGGGCCTTAGAAACTCACGACTAAGTAACTTGTCTGAGGACACAAACTTGGTAAGACAATGATGTGGGATGCAACTCTTCTCAGGCCCCAGAGCCTATCATACTATAATGCCTTATTGCTCCCAACTCTGAAGAGAAAATCCAACTCTGATCCACATCATCTTGGAATGGACAGGGTACACAGACCTTCTATTAATCCCACCTGTCCTCTAATTCCTATGTAAAATGAGGATAATGGTGGCTTACCTACCTCACAGGGTTCTTAAGATTTGAGATGAGACCATACAGGTACAGCACTTAAACAGTACCTTGTAGATAGTAAACATTCAACAAACAGTAGTCATTATTATTATTATTATTCTCTGGGCTACTAAAGTGCAGCTGAAAAATACCGTACAAATGGAAGAGATGTCCTCTTTCACATCTATCCATGAACAAACAGAAGAGATACTACTGCTAAGAAATGAGGGGCTGGAGATTTAGCTCAGTGGTGCCACTACCTGTCTTGCAGGTGCAAGGTCCTGAGTTCAATCCCTGGTTAAAAAAAAAGAAAAAAGAAAAAGAAAGAAAAGAAAAGAGATTTTCTTTCTCTGACCCACTGCTTAAGCAGTTTCCTACACCTGGAAGGCACTGCATCACTGTCACAACTCCTACGGAATGCCCCCCAGCCCAAATACCTTTTCTGTGAAGCCTTTCCAAGTAAAGAGCTCCTGTCAGTACTAAATCCCCACAACATATAATCTGAACCTCATGTTCTGCCTAGTGTACTTGTCCAGGTCCTCTATTGGAGTGTGAGCTCCCTGAAAGCAGACCTCAGTGCTTGGGGAGGGTGGGGCACGGAATGAGGTCTATTTCCTCTTCAGAGCCCTAGAGAGGAAAATAATCTCTTGGAAAAAGTTGAGAGGTTTGTGGAGACCCCAGACTTACTGAGGCTGAATGGACCTGAGAAGTAAACCAGGAAGGGTAAAGTAGGTTACCAAGAATAGAACTTGGGGTAGCCCAATCAGGGAAGAGCACAAAGAAAATTCCTATATTATGAAAGCAAGTGGGGATAAGAGAAACAAGGGAAGAGAGAAGAGGGAGCAGGGAAGGTGTGTTGAACTGAGTAAGATTTGAAACACTTGGAATTGAAGAATGCTCCAATGACTCCAAAGAGGGCAGATCCCAACTTGCAGACTCAAAGAGGAACCCAGTGAGGGTGAGTGTGCAAATATATATATATATAT